TATTTGAGTTTGACACCCCTGCTCTAAAGAAAGCTTAAGGCTAACTCCAAAAGCATGTCATTCCCCAATCCCAAGTAATGAAAAATTCCCCACAGTGCTTTAGTCAGTGGTTGACTCTTGTGCTTCAATACAGCTGCCATAAACACAGTAGCTACATATCATGTCTATTTATGACGGTAGGACAGTAACTAAAATCACTGTAACTTGTAATTTTCTATGGTGACTTGGTTTTATATTTTCATCTGAAAGGTTCTTGGTCCTTTCTGTGAAGGCCAGTGCACTTTGTGTTGATTTTTCTGAATATCAGTTGTGGGTTAATACGGATAAGGAAGTTCTGCATTTAGAGTATACCTGCATGTTAAGGCGCCCCCTCTGAGCTGAGAACCCATGATGAGACTGAGAGGAAGCTAACAGCTGGTCATCTTCTACCCGGTGAGACTCCAAGCCCAGAGGAGGACATTCTGGAAAGGAAATCAGAGCACACACCAACAAAATCTGTGTAACAAATGTTGCTGAGAGACACTATAAAAGACACATAGTGTAAAAGAAATGTTGTAGTTCAATATAAGGCTGATTGTTTTTTTGTTTTTTTTACAGATCTTATCATTATTATTAATATTATATTAATCTCTGTCTTTACTGTGAATGTTTAAAACTAAAAAACAAGTGAACAAAACAGAGAGACTCTCTTACTTTTTGGTTCAGCTGGCACTGAAATCTGCTTACGTCTCTCTTCTTCCTCCTCCTCCCACTTTTTCCTCAGTCTTTCGGCTTTCAGAGATTAATAAAAAAAAATAGTAAATGTCAGAAAAAGGGACTTGCTCTCAAGCCCACCACCGCCACCACACAAACTATTTCCACATGTGCTCATAATATGCACCTTCATTTCTACTTGTGTTCCTTTATTTGTTTTTACTTTAAAATACAGGGCATTTAAGTTTGTAATCAGGAGCAAATTTCCTTTACATTTCATTGGATTTTACAGGAAATTGTTCTGTAAAACTCTGTTATCAAACTGATCCTTTCAGTCACCCTCTTCTGCATGTTTTGATATCACCATAATATCTCCTAAATAGTCCCAGAGCTTTACATAACTATGCACAACAGGATACTGTGGCAGCTGTTGGAATTCTAGTTCATTATTTATTTTCTCATTAAAAACAAACCACTGATGGTGTAAGAATAATAGTGTCACGCTACATTTTTTTCTGCCAAGATTTCAAATAAAAAGAGCAAAACCAGCAAGATCATTTAAAAACACTTCAAAAACGGAGCATATCCTCTAGCTTAATCTTTAAACAGTTTAGAGTAAATGTTTTAATTTGCTCTGTTGTACAATGAAGCGGACAGTTACTTGTATCAGTTTTGATGGAGTTGTTCTAATACTATTTCCATATTTTATCATGAGGCAGGTTTTATACTTTTTATTTTTTCGTTTCTTTATTAAAAAACAAAAACAGAAGGCCGTGATGAAGTATTGTTACTATTGAACATGTAAACAGAGTGAAAAAGAAATGTATAATTTTAATATTCTTCTGGGAGTTTGTGGTAAAGGTTTACAACATGATGATGTTAAAGTTCTGATGTTTATCAATGTAAAAAAAACAAACAATAAATATAAACCTTTTTCGGCCTTTTCTTTTAGAGCTCTCTCCTCCTCTTCTTCTTGTTTTTTAGCTGCCACTGTTGTCAGGGAATCAAAAAGTAAAAAATTATCTTAATGTCATGATGAAGAGCTGCAGTGTATGTTATATATTACACTTCATTAGTTATTTGTGGCAAGCAGACGTACAATCAGTGTAGTCATATTCTTCATACCAGGCTCCAATATATGGAACGGTGGTGGATTCCTCTGAAAGAGATGCAAAGATCTGATTTCAGTTGGAGTTTTGTTTCTGCATCACCAAATAATTTTTTTTAAAAAATGACACATTGCCATTAACACTGTATGACATTGTATACCTGGTATGTACATGATGACCTCAGGAGTTGTGACTTCTTTCTTCGTATCAGGATATCTGCCAGGCACCTCATCTGCTATGAACATAGCAATCAGACATTATTGTTTGAGCTGGAAGATGATAAAAACTTTAAAACAAATGAAAACATCTTAATCAGAACAAAAGGTCCATGTTACTGTGGAAATATTAATGGAGAAAAACTCCCATCAGAATGGATTTGAACTTAACTCTAAGTTGTCTTGATGCATGCTCAGTCATGCAAAGGACTGATTGAGCATGCATCATTCTGTTCAACTGGACAGACAGAATCAACTTTTGTGGGTTATCTCTAAGTTCCCTTCTTTTAAATTCTCAAACGCCCATTCTTTATTATATCTGAACTTGAAATATATCTTAAATGTGGTTCAGTCAAGAGAGGCAATCGCATGAATTCATCCATTATCACCTGGACCTAAAAATAAACTGTGTTTTATATTCCATCCATCCATTCTCTTCTGCTCATTTGGATAGCTGGGGCCTATCCCAGCTCTCATAGAGCAAGAGGACATGTCACAAGTCTGTTGCAGAGCTAAACATAGACCACAACCATTTGTTGACATAACACATCTATATCCAATTTAGAATTACAAATTAACCTAACCTTCAAACCCATAATCTGTTTTCGGTGGGATGATAGTACCTCTCAGCATTGTCATTACTTTAATGAACTAAAGTAATTTAATGTACCGTCTAGGCTGTTTTGACTGATCATTGTGGGCTGCCTGGACCAAAAATCCCAGGCGCCCAGTTTTGTTGTCCTTGTTCAGCCCTGATAGAGCTGTACAACACAATACAATACAATGCCCTGCAACATCATAATGATGCCATAATTGGCTGATGCAGTCATATTGTAATAAAAACATCATAAAGCATCAACATTTTAGCATAGACCTTGCTCTACGTGGGGTAGTGCTCTTTTTAATTATAATATATCATTATATACTGATATAAAAATTTTTTTATTGATGGCTATCTATAGTCACATTGTAAAATAACCCAAAACAAACAAAACTATCTATGATAGTTTCCTCCTTCACAACAATTGTAGTATGGGTAATTTAAAAAACAAAAAAACAAAAACTCACCCATTTGGGGGTTTTTTTAGACTCAAAGTTAGAGTTATGGGGCTTTGTTAAGTGTGCCAATACAGGTAGCTGTAGCTGACAGTTGTCTGCTAGGCCTTTCCTCTGGTAATTTGATTCATTGAACTTTTCAGAATATTTTAATGGCATTAAGTATCAAATAATATGGCTTGCTGTACCTGTACTTTATGCACTATTTATGCTACTTTGCTAATTATCAGGTTAATAAGCAGGTACCTGTCTGTGCATTGAAGTAGTGCTCTTTATGGATGCACCTTCTACTTCATGTCCAAATATGGTCACTTCTAGTTCCGCAAAACAACACGGCTCAGGCCAAAATATAAATATTGAGATGTCAATGAATGTGTGATGTCAGAAAGGTTACAACCACAGCCATCCTTTGTCTATTTGTATATAGTCTGCAGTTGGTCCCTATCCAGAAGCTCAAATAAACAAAACAACTTAACACTTCTGTAGCCATTTTTTTATAATCTATGATAAGGGTTCATTTTTGATTGAATAATTAATTTGTGACAAAAACCTTTGCTGCCATTTTTAAATCTTTCATCTTCACAGTCATTGTATTCCCACTGGACCTCGTAAGCTTTGTCATACAAGGGTTGATTGAAAGTTCTGACTCTCAATGAGATAATATTAATGGAACATACGTCTGGGATGCCAGTAGTCAACATCAAGCTCACTGTGGGTTTTTGTTGGAGATGTTGGCTTCTTGAACATGTCATCTGTATAGAAAAGACAAAGAGGAAGACTATTAGTAGTATAATTCTAACTTCAAGTAATAGGGCAGCTTATGTAAGAGTTTCTTACATAAGTTATCCAGCGCCAGTTGCTTCTGATCAGGCAGTTGAAAACTAGTGCCAAGATGTCCAGTATATTAGAACTGTGTGTCTAACTAATATAATTGACTTGTGTTACAAATAATACAGGTCTTTGGCAAGTCATCCATACAAAAAAAAGATTGTATGTTAACTTCTGACCACAATTAGAGATCAATTTACTGTATAATTTTTTTTTTTTTTAAATCGTCCCCTCCCTTTGGATGTATAACTATCACATTATATTACGAGCAACCACCAGGACCAGTTCATAACCTGTGAAAGTCTTACCCAGGTCTGGCTCAACAGGCTCTTCCCCCCAACGCTCCTTTGGGGTCACAGGTTGAATTGCTACAAACATGAAAATAAAGGGTTAAAAAGCTGCAATCTTAACAAATAATCTCCAATCAGTGGAAGTCCCAAGTAAAGAACTTGCTCCAATATAAACTTTACGGACCTAAAACCACTGATATTCATAACAGATACTTAAAATGCACATAATAAGTAATTTGTTATGTACATTTATTATAGATGATCTGCAACATCATTCACTGCCATATTCTTAAAGAAGAATTTAATTAATTATTTGCAGACCTTTAAAAACACAATTATCTATAATCTGTGGGGTGCCCTAGCATCCCTATTGATGAGCCAACACTGGTCTATTGTGTTAAATAGAGATCAGGACAAATGCAAAGCTGACAATTTACCAGTTGATATATACGTTCCATGTATGGCCACCTATGATGAACTACGTTTGGGTAATGACTGAAAGAATGAGATTACAATGGAAATGAGTTTTCCTCAAAAGGTGGCTGGGATCATTTAGGAATAGGATGAGAAGTTCATTCATTTGGGATGGACTCAGCAGACCTACCACTCCTCTACACTGAAAAGATCTAGGTAAAGTGGTTTGGACATCTGATGCCTCCTGAGTGCCTCTGGAATGAGGTTGGCCCAATGTACACTAGAGCCTTGAGGTGACATTTGATGTGATTTGGCGCTATATAAATAAAATTGAATTGAATTGAATAGAGAGATTATGTCTCTGCAGGCCTTTGAAACGCCTCAGTATTATATTAAATATAAATATTGTAAAATATAAATTGTATACCGATTCTGTTCATAATTTTTATGGACAGAATTTCTAGGCGCAGCCAAGTGGCGGAGGGCTTTTACTTCGGTGGCCTCAGAATCTCATCTCTGCTTTTCGCGGATGAT